GGGCCTCTCGCTGCTGTGGCCTCTCCCGTTGCGGAGCACAGGCTCCGGACGCGCAGGCTCAGCGGCCATGGCTCACGGGCCCAGCCGCTCCACGGCACGCGGGATCCTCCCGGACCGGGGCACGAACCCGCGTCCCCTGCATCGGCAGGCGGACCCCCAACCACTGCGCCACCAGGGAAGCCCCTAAGTGGTTCTTCTTTAAGTGAGGAATGGTAAACATTGTATCCATGGGAGATGGAAGATAAGTAAATGGTTTGGATATCCTTCTCCTCCCCCATATTCATTGTTTGGAAAGACAGAAGGGGATATTAAGGGAGAAATCCTATCCCTGCCCCCCACCTCTTACGTCCGCATCCACTTTCTCTTCGGAAAATGTAATTGGCAAGATGCCAAGAGGTGTTAAGCTAGATTTTACTAACAGTGGTTTTGCATCTCATTAAAAGATGATGGTGAAGGAGATTCAAAAAGATCTTGATCGGGACCCACTGAATGGGGATACATATAAGGTCTGCTTGGGACCCCCAAAATCAATGGCACCAGAGGAGGTGGGCGCTGGGAAACACAGCTTCATGTATAAAAAGCCTCAGTGAGTCAAGAGTGTGATAAGGCCACCAGGGCAGCTAATAGGATCTTAGATGACAGTAATAGTACTACAGGACCTAGAAGTCCGGTGATGCTACTTAGCCTGCTTGGCCCGGCCAAAATGGAAGCTCACAACCTGGAACAAAGGGACTTGGAAATCCCAGCACATGTGGCGGGATGAGAGACCTGAGGATATGATAGGAGGGCGTCATTTGGAAAGAACCTGTCTCCTTGACTTTGAGAGGTAGAACCCAAACTTGTAGGTGGACTTTGTTGGCTTCCTACAAAGAGGGGAGAGACCTCCTGAGTAGAGATCTCCCTCTCACTTGCAGCGATGTTGAAGAACATCTCCAGGCATCTGAAACATACTCTCATGTCCATTCCCACTCTGGAATTCTATCAATTAGATGAGGGTTCTTCCAGTTTAAAAAAAGATATATAATATCTCCACACTTGCATATAGAAACAAAGGGTTGGACAGAAATATGACCCAAAAAATGACTTCCTCTTTCTAACATCTCATGTCATTTCTGTAACCTCCAGGACACATCCCTTCCATTTCTGTAATGAAGCCACAATTGGTGATAATGTGTAAAACTCGTTACGTGGCATTTTCATGTCTCCACCCCAGACCCAGTTACCATGCTGTCTCACCAGATTTCCTGCTCTCACCTCCCAACTGGTATTTCCACACACTCACCTTCCACCAACCTGTTCGCCTAAAAGTGGCCAGAGTGACCTTTTAAAAACAAATCAGATCTCGCCATTCCTCTACTCAGAAACATGCGCTGACTTTCCAGTAAATCCTCAGTCCTTCAGTGGTGTCCATACTCTGTACGTGGGCCTGTAGCTCTCCCTTCAGTCGGCAAACCTGCTCTTTCTCTTCGTCTGCACTGCAGCCACCCTGCCTCCTCTGTTTCCTTGAGAGCCCTGGACCACCTGCCTCCTGGCCTTTGCACAAGTTGTTTCTGCTGCCTGGAAGGCTTCCTTCACCTCCCGCCAACCCCCGCCGGTCCATTTACCTCCTGCCCACCCTTTAGATTTCAGATCAAAACTGATGTAGATTCAGCTCCATGTTACACAATCTTGGTGCACCCTTCCAGCACCTGTCACCCTTTCTAGCTGTGAAGATTTCACCATTGTCTCTCTCCCCCGTTAGACTATAAGTTCTTGGACAGAGGGCATGTCTGTTTTGCTCGACCGTTTTTCTCCAACGCCTGGCCCAGTACCCAGCACTTAGTAAGCCCTGGTTAAATACTTATCATCTCAGTAAATGAATGAAAGATATAAAATGTAACCACCTATTCATCAAACTGTGGGCAGAAAAAGCTCTTCCCATATTGGCGTCTTAGGAACTGATTCAGTTAGATATGTTAACTGGGTTTACCTTGTAAAGTTAAAAAAAAATAAAGATGTTTGTATATCCACATGCATATAACAAAGGTGGGTATCTATTATTATACTGTATGAACTTAATTAAAAAAACAACTCTTTGCCCTGAGAAAATTTACACTGGCAGGAAAATAGTCATGCTGGTTACAGTGTGGCCATCTCATTCCACCTCTACCACTAATAAACCATCCATCGTGGAATGAGTCAGAGTTGCCTGTTGAAAGTGAATAAAATCTGGTTCATGTTCATACATACATTAAGGACAGAAACAAAGAAAGAGGCTTTGAAAGTCGGGAGAGTTGGGGAGATGGTACAGTTCATTGCTTCGTCACAGTGAGCTAAGTAAG